TGATTATCTCACATCCAACCAAACAGAGAAAAAAGTTACTACTGGTTTTTTTTTAATTTAGCATCAGGAACCAGTTAGACCTGGCTGATTGTTAGCAACATGCTAAATGTTCAGCAGTAAAAAGTCAACCTGCATAAGGACAAAACTTGAGCTTCCTTCAGAATCAGGGGCCTTCTCCGGTGTACATCCTACAGGTCTTGGTGATTAATTCCAATTACAACCTTTGAAATGGGAAAGTACAATAGTAACTAATGGTCCCCTCGACTTCATCGCCTTCCCTCGAGCAATGGAGAAGGGTAGCCACCCATGATCTTGTGGTACGGTCCATGTTAGAAGGCATCCTCTATCTGTCTGTCTATCTATCTATCTGCTGAGACAGTTCACACTGGGACACCATCTGTCCACTTTCATGGTATGTGTGCAAAGAACTCGTGGCACAGCACTGTGTACAGCGTCAAACAAAATGTGAACAAAATGAGGACCGACCAGTTCCTCCTGAGTGGGAAGGCAAGAACGTGCTGATAACTAGAAAAAAAAAAAAAGGAGCAAAACACACAATAACATAGTTACTTTATGAAACTCATGGCCTTTTTGGAATGAATAAACAATTTAAGACAGCTTGTGCAGTGTGTTAGTTCCTTTTGTTTTGCCAGTTTTGCTAGTGATGCCATAGAAACTAATTTTCTGTTTCACACAGTCCTGCAAAACTGAAGGAGAAAGATTAAAAAGTCTGATTAGAGATATAATGTGGTTGCAACCTAAGTAATTTGAATGTTGGGGTCCAGGTGTTGGACTTGTGATAACATATCCTTGGATCTGTGGACTCCTTCAAGCACAAATACAAAGTCGTTGGTCAGTTTACGTATTTCTACTAAAATTCTAGGAATAGACTTTCCTTTTTTTCTGCTTTTTTTCAAGGACTCTGAAGACTTTAGAGACAGGTATTCATAAAACCTCTTAGGAGTGAAGGAGAAACGGGAGTATACATTAGCAGAAACTGCTCTGAAACAGTGTGATCCCAAGTTCTGTCTATGAAGAAACTCTAAAGTCTAATGTTTAAAATAATGATATATGCGTAAGACTAGTTAAATGATTGCAGTGACTGTCATTACTATCGGATCAACACAACATCACACCTAGTTTAATGGAATTACTGAACAGTAAACAGACTTTCAGCTTTACATAATACACTTTGAGGAAGATTTCCCCACAAATATTCAAATGTGCAAATGTGTTATATGCACAAAGAGGAAATCACTGCATTACTGAGATTGCGGCTGATTTGACTCGTGCTGTTTCCTTTTGAAGACCCACCCAGGTGATGTTGATTTTGTTTCAAGGCAGGAGGGAGCTGACAGAGAGCACAAGGGACCAAAGACACTACTGCTCTACAATAGCATGGCCATGATAGGGGATCCCGACCCAAATACATACATGGCGATAAACTCAGCACTTTGAAATCCAGCTCCAGGAAATAATTCTGAAGGCAAGAATAGTCTTCCTATTGTATTCCTCAGCAAGATCACCTCTGGAGTGCTAATTATGTCTGTGGGTATTTCCAAACACTTACCTGCTAGGAACTGCGCACAGGCATCCTCTCTCTGTCTTCTACCTCTGCATGTACCTTGGAGTATGCCCTGTAAATTCATCTCCAGATGGTACAGCCATTTGAACAAAAGGTTTGGGCCCCAGTATGGCAAATCACATCGTCACATGCCCACGTTGACTTCTGTGAGAGTATCTGCATGCTTAAAATGCAATAAGTCTGTCTGTTAGGTGCTTTTGCTGCATATATCATACCATTACCGACTCCTAAGCTATCCAATTTCACTTAGACATCCAGTTTGCTCATGCAGGCAGTGTTTTAGACTGGATGATGGGATTACAGTAGTCATCACAATGTATGTAACAAGTGACAGGTTAATAAATCCCAAAGCTTTGACATTTAATTTTCTGGAAGCAGTTTCAGGTCCACAGTGCCCTGGAGTACAGTCAGGGCTGGCTCCTTGATGCTTTGGAAACTCTCAGCTGCAGCACTCTGATTTAATGACTGAATATTTCCCTCCTCAACCTGTTACCTTAAGTTCAAATACAATAAAAGCTTGAAATACGGAACTGGATGATGCTTACAGCACAATGTTAATAGTCCTGATCGAAAATGCTGCATTTTAATCAAGTGTTACATGCAAAATGAATAATAAAAAAAATTATCTGAAGGTATGAGTGTACCCCTTACCTGTACACAGATACTACTCACCAGATTGCAAGTAAGTACCTTGAAAGAAACTTTTTGAAAATATAGTTTTTGTGTAGCTTATAGTTGTATGTGATGATGCAGTGGCAAAACTACACAGAAAATACATATCACTAGCAGGGTATGGACTCAACATTCCAGTTTGACTCCAGCAATACTTTGCCTTTACATGGCCTTCTATAGTTTTTCCCTAGATCCACAACAACATTGTTCCTTCAGATCCAGATTTTCTTCATGAATACCATTTCTATCAAAAGACATACTAAATCATCTAATTTTCAGCTTTTAGACCTATTTAAAATTCAGTAGGATTGCAATATCTTCCTTTTTTTCTTGCTGGCCACACTATTGCTGATACAAGCCAGGATGCTGTTGGCCTTCTTGGCCACCTGGGCACACTACCAGCTCATGTTCAGCCGCTGTCGACCAACACCCCCAGGATTTTTCCCGCCAGGCAGCTTTCCAACCACTCATCCCCAAGGCTGTAGCACTGCATGGGGTTGTTGTGATCCAAGTGCAGGACCCGGCACTTGGCCTTGTTGAACCTCATACAGTTGGTCTTGGCCCATCGATCCAGCCTGTAACAGAAGCACAGAAACTTTAAAAGTGGAGGTGTGACAGGCAAAAGAGAAAAGCACTAAGACTATTAAAAAAGACTATTTTATCATTCTTGTAAGTGTTAAATATTGTATCCCAAGTTACTGAGAAGCAGATGTAACTCACTGAACAGGTAAATAAGTTTGAGAAAAATCTCTTTTGTGGGGAGAACTGGCATATAGTGGTCTGCTTTGATTCAAAGGCCAGGCAAGGGAAAAAAAAAAAAAAGGAAAAAAAAAGGAAAAAGAGCTGAAACCTGTACAGTCACAGTTGTAACTCAGGAGCAAAGGTGACACATGCAGGCACATACCGGACCAGTGAGCAAACAAACTTGCACTTAGCGGGGCCGTATTTTGGTAATACTTGATAAGTCACCTTGTGTGCAGACTGGTAATTGCTTTATTTATTTATTTATTAATGGCAAGGTCTGTAGGTAGAGATAAGACTTTTAATAGACTAATTCATACAGCTGGGAAAAGTAGACAACCTTTTCAGTTCTGAACAAGCCCTTACATGTTGAAATCTTATAATTTTGCAGCTATCCTGTAGGGTTTAATGACAATATTGCCTTCACTCATAAAGTTTATCCTGAGTATTCCCTTGGACTACTATGGTTACAGTAACACCATCACAAATGTTTTATGATGCATTTTCTATGTAAAACTTCGGTTTTACACTGTGAATAACGATTTCAAACCCCTTAAACTCCTTTTTCTGTGTGTGTGAGACTCTGTGGGACTGGCAGATGCCACTTGATGGCAGGAGAAGACAGGTCAGTACCTCAATCCACAGTTTGGGAATGTGCAGCCCAGCCTTCCTTTGGTGAAAAGTATTTTCTTCTTTCCTGTGTCATGGATCCTGCAGTGGGTTGGCAGGAATCACGGGGTGGGTTTACAAAGCTTGACCTCCACAGGATTGCAAATAAATGAATAGAAAGCCTATTTGGGAAGGGACAACAAGATGGGAGCTAACTGCAAGTGTGAGGAGGTGTATCCTAAGTGTTTCAGGTTCATCAGGTCTCTGAATAACAAGAATAGTGTAGCCATAAAACCTCTGGTCCTAATGAAATGTTATCTCACCCAATAAAGTGACAAGGGAAGTCCTGAGATAAGAGAAAGTGATCTGAGAACATGATGCAGGTAAACCCACAGTATGCTGAACACCAAAACTGTGAACATCTCTTAAGAACATTAGATTTTTCAATAGATTTTTTTTTTTTTTTTTTTTTTTGGCGGATTTTCTGTATTAGCTGGCAAGGTCCTAATAATATTGCTTGATTACATCCTACTACTAGAAATTTTGTAGATTAGATGTTGACAACAAGTAGGCATTCTTCTACCCTTCTTGAAATGAGTGAGAGTGCATCCTGGGCAAGCACCATGTTCCTCTCGGCACTTGTAGTGAGACCAGCACTGAGCTCTTTCAGGACTGAACACCCTTCTCGAGGCTGTCTTGGAAGCAGAGATTTTGAGAAAACAGAAACAAAGACATATCCCTGAAACATACTGCTCTTTCAAAACTTAGGTTTAATAATTTCCAATGATGAACACTGTGAACATTTGTTGTTTTGCATTTTGTTCGCAAGAATATGTACAAAGGTTAATTCAAAAGTAATTTTCCTCTGAACGGACCTTTTATGTCTCTCCTCTGACTTTAACAGCTGCAAAAGTGAGTGCCAGATGAGGCAGCTCTAGATAGAATAAAAATCAATAGTTACCTCCTGAGTCATCAGTAACTGAGTCTCTTTTGGTCATTAACTTACAGTTTCCATGACTTCACACAGAGTGTCAGATCCCAAATGCCTGCCACAGTCATTCTATCTTCTTACTAGCAGAGGACTACAATTTTTAAAAATCTAGTTTTGTCTCCATACATTTGGTTCACCTATGTACAAATCATCACAAAAAAAGGCAATGTCACAGTAGCGTAGAATATTTTTTCACAGAATTCCTCCTCTACGAACTCTAACCTTTCAAACAGTGGTGCAGAGCCTCTTATACCAGCTTGACACTGGTGCATTTCCAGCAACAAAATCACTTCTGAGTTACGCTTTCATGAAGGAAGTGAAATCAGGTCCATCTATTGCATCTGATAAGATCTACACATAGATAATACACTTTTTTTGGGAGAAGACCCTCCTTTAAAAAACTTAACTTAATGGTGTTTTTGATGATGTTGACATCCCTTTCTGCTATCCTGACTTCCACCTTTGTGCACCGCTGGAGAGGTTTCTGGATGTTCCCACTAAGCAGGATGTAGAGAAAGGGATTAATGCTGCTGCTGTCATAGCTGAGGCAGATGAAGACATGGTAGTTCAGGTAGAAGGTCAGGGTCGGCTGGGAAACCTGAAGATTCATGAGCTGGATCGCATGGAATGGGGCAGTGCTTGCCACAAACACGCCGGTCGGAGCAAGCTCTGTCTTAGGGAGCCTCATAACTCTTTGCCTGGGGATACTGGTGGTGTAACTGTAAAATGAAGAAGGATCCCTAGCATGGAAAGTCGAGGTGGGAAAATGATGGCATGGATTGAGTGTATTAACCAACCGCAGTTACTTGAGACCACATTCACCTACAGTGCAAGCAAAGGTCAGCTCTCAACAACTTCTTTTTGTTTGTTTGTTTGCACATTATGGTTTCTTCTGCTTAGCCTGAATTTGATCCTATGCCATGCACATACAGGAGCCATTGAGAATTGTTTACGTATATTTGATTAAATACTGACAATTGTTTTCATTAAAAATGCTTACTTTCTTTCAACATGAGAGCTATATAGCTTTGCATCCCTTTTCATTTATGACTACGTTTTTTGACTAACAACTGGAACAGAAATATTGAGTTAAAATATGACTACTATAAGCTTAAAGGAGACTTAGAGCAAAGGAGTAAATGATCCTCCTGCCTGAGGAATTAAAAACCACACTAAAATGGAAATCAATTTCTTTTTTCATGGAAAATTGGTATAAGCTGAAATCCAAAGCATGTAGCCCTAGAACTAAAACACGCTGACCAGGAGCTGCTGTCATGGGAACTGGGAAATTGTATTTCATCTGTTTTACGTGTCAGTTTTCTTTTGTTGCCTAGACTTCCCCAGGCTGTGAGCAGTGGCCTTGTAAGTCCCCTTCCCACAGGAGGGGCAATGGAGCCTGGAGGCACCCGACCTGCAGCTCCCTGGGGCACGACAGCTGGTACCAGACCTGGCACCCACATTCTCCCAGGGTTTCTTAATCCCTGAACTGAAATCTTGGAGCTACGAGACCTGGATGGGCACATGCCCTCCCACAGCCAGAAATGCAGGGTTGGATTGTGCCTTTTCATTGTCCTCAGATAACTTTTTCCCACAGCGTTTCCTTCTAACTGGGTTATCTGCTCCCTCCCCTGAATCCCATCCCTAATCTCTTTCCTCGGAACCTAATGCAGCATCTGAAGCACCGAAAGTAGCATGATGCAGTGCCTAAATGTTGGTTTAGGACTGTTCCTTTTGGCCTGTTACGTATAAAACCTTTACAGTCTGAGCAGAGCATGTGAAATAGGAAGAAGCATGAATAACACGTTACCTTCCTGTTTTCTTCTTTGGCTGATACTTCTCCCACATGTGAAAAATAAATATCAGTAGTAAAGGAAAAAAGAAAGTTGTTACAGTAAGAAAAAGCATATACTTGTAAAATAAAACACAAAAAGAACAAACAAGGTGATTACACAAAGACCATCCCATAAATGTAAAAAAATATAAATTACATTTTTCATAAAGTGGTCTCTGACTTGCGATTCTTGATTAGAGATACATGGAGCCTGTTTTAGGTAGCAGCAAGTACGTAGAACTGCAAGTACTTTTAAGTACTGGAGTCTGCATTCAGCACTTCTAGGAATACTACTCGCAGATAACTACAAATTATCCCTCTCAGCTTGCCAAATTCTGTGTGTGTGTGCTTTTTCCAGCACCTGTATAATTAGTGAAAAATTCTTGCAAGCATTTATGCAGGACACAGTCTGCTAAGTCCCTTGATATTTTGCTAGTCTGACAGTAGACCAGTGATGACCACCTTCTGACTATTCTTACATCGCTAGTGTAATCTAATCAACACCATCTTTCCTGGTTGGTTTGCTGGTACTTTGTTACAATTCATGTTATTTTGTTTCTATTCTTTATCAAGTGGAGAACTTCCATCAAAGAAGGAGAGTAGATTATTTTGTTATAATTGGCTCCTGACAATAATAATTTGCTTAATAATTTGTTAAATTTCCTGGTTATTGCAGTTCATTGTTTTTTACTCTATCTACCAAAGTCTCCTTTTACTTGTCTTCATACTTGTCTGTATTGAAACCTCTAATGCAGGACTAAACAAGCCTCTGAGTCGGTCATGCCATCTGAGAGAGGATGGACTAAACTCCTCAAATACTTTCAACCCTGTTTTTCTCCTATTTTCTCTGATTTCTTTCAGTGTATTGGGATTATCATGTCCTTGACAAGTTCTTGAAAATAATCAGTCATGTTTCAGGAATTGTTTTTACTAATACCGTTAAGTCTTCAGCAGTGAATTTCATTAAGCTTTGCTGACATTAAGATATTTAACTTCTGTACCGTTACATATTTTTTGTCTTTTTCTGGTGCTCTGGAGTTAGATTTAATTCCATCAAAAACCTGGATGCAATTCAATGGTGGAGTGGGATGGGTAAGGGAGACTGGAAAAAAAAGGACTCATATACACTCTTCTAGGCTTTGTCTACATTAACAAGTTGTACAAATGAGTGGTGAAAATCTATAGAGTGAAGTACTTGGTGCTTAGGACGTGACATGTTATACTCATGTTAGTGGATTTAACTTTGAATTTTCTCTAATTGGATCCTGTGGATTGACGAATAAGTACTCAACGGTGGCTGGAGTCCATTCACTGAGTTCCTGGAACACTTTTTCCAGTCTGATTTCACCTGAATAGAATACACATCATGTGTTCTGAGGCTGCTGAATAAGGTGAACTTGAGTGTGCTAATTAAAGACAATTGGGATACTTACTCCAAAAATATCTTTGTTTTCCAAACAAACATGTGACTATAAAAACATCCAGTATCAGCCAAAATTTGCTCTCTGTTATGTAAGGTTTTTAAAATTTTCTTTTTTGTCTCTTGCTAGTCATGACTCAGCAAGCTAGCTTGAATTCAAGAAAAAGGCAGGAATCTGCTTGGCCATGAGATACTGGAAAGTCATGTATGCAATTTGAGGAGTGTTTAATCTCTTCTGTCATCTATGTCTTCCAAACATGACAGTTTGCCAGGTCAGAAAGGGCAAGGAGAGCTCATTTGTGAACAACCGTTACCTAAATGCAGCAAGAGAAGACAAGGAGAAACAGAGGTCCTTCACTGTTACATTTGCTATGTGGGACCTGTCTCGCTGAACTTGACCATGCTGGGGCTGCCTTTATATTGCCAACACAATCTGAGATGCAATGAAATTAATGATACAAGGCTCAGCTTCAGCCTTTAATTCTGTTCCATCCATCTATCCACCCACCCATCCATCCATCCATCCATCCTTCTGTCCATCTATCAGGGATACCAAAGGCAAAATGGGTGGTATCCTGAACAATGGCTGAAGACATGATCCCCTGAGATTTGAAAGCTTGCCAGAGAACACCATCAGGTGAGGCTAAATCAAAAGTGAGACTTTTCAAACTTTATTACTTTTGAGTAGACCCCCACAGGGAACATCAGAATAAGTGATGCCACCCATAAATATAAATTGACTTGAATTGTCTTTGATCTTGTTCCCAGGTGGGTTAGGCAAATTGGCTGGACAAGAGCTAGGTACCTGGAAAAGCAAGTGACAGAGCAATATAACAGAAAAACAATAAATTACTTAGGCTCATATTGTTGACCACAAAATAAAAATTCTAAGAATAGCCATTGCAAAGGAAGGAAACTGCATTTTTTAAAAGTTGTCTAGTACACCATGTCAGAATGGCTTTTATCCAAGAAATTCCCTTAACTTTCAACAAGTGTTGTTATAACTGATTATGCTTTTGGTCACAACATTATTTAATTAATAAGATAAGAGTTTTTAATAAATTCTATTATATTAGCAAGTAGGAGACAGGATTTAAAAACTCAGACATACAAGAAACACAGATATAAAATCTGAGATGAAGTTAGTTCTGGAAAAGGACTGGAGATAATTTAATACAGGCAAGACTGTAATTTGCAAAAAAATTATGGAACTTTCTGATATATTTGAGGTCTAGGAGTGCTCCAGTCTTTTATAGTTGTAATTTAAATGTTTAGTCTCCACATAACTGAAGATACAACTGAATGACTTTACTACCTTAGAAGTAACCTTCAGTTTGCAGCGGCTGAATACAAAACAAATTCAACTTCCATTTCATGACCTTCAGATTTTGTAAAACATTAGAGTGAAAGTTAATCTGTCAGATCAAAATGGATTAAAAAGGGCAGTCTTTGAGCTGAGAGGAAAATATTAAAAGCAACAATTCACATGTCGTAAAAAAGAAGATGTTAAAGGAAATGTATTTTCCCTCTGTTTTTTTCAGGAGTGAGTAGAGTAGGTACAAAGTCCACTGCATTTGGTATAGCTTTTCATTTCCAGATGAGACCAGACTCCCTACTAACATGACCACTAATACACAGTTTAACAACTCTTTTGGGAAGAATAGCGTCAGATCATCTTAGATTAAATTCAGCAAAGGTAAAGAAACCTAACAGTGAATTTCTTCCTTTTTCTTTCCATCCTTTGCACATGCAGAATCTGGCATACTGGGACCAGCCCTAGGCCTAGCCAAGAGGTACTGGGTACAGACAGTATATGATGGAGGCTGAAGATTTCCATTGCCTTGGGTCTTGGTACTGCTTTGTGGCTGTCAAACTCACTGTGCTCTGTAAAGTAGTTTGAAGGGAGCTGCAGCATTGCCCTGAGATGGCTTTGAGGTGATATAACCAACATGAGACAACCAGAAACCAGCACCAACTGACCTGCACAGGCCAGATGACACGGATACAGTTCTCGTCAGCAAGGTCTCCTAGTGGAGACCCTGGCAGAGGGGTGATTCTCATCACATTGCTGCCAGCTTAACAATATCATCAATTATGGTCCCCAACCCCAATATATGATGAGAGGAGTGCCACTGAGGTCCTAGCCCTGCTAGTGGCTTCTGTACCCATTGCCACCCAGATTATGGCTGACAAGGCTTATAGTTCTGCCTTGGCCCTATGCCCACCAACTCGCTCCCTACGATAGGGAAAAGGATGGATGGAAGAACCCAGCTTCTGGCAGCAGGAGCTGGTAGGTGGAAAGCTTTGGGACATTATTTTTTTTTGTAGAAAATATCTATTTTATAACCAACTTCTACAAAATGCATCAAAAATTTTATTCTGTCCTCTTCCACCATGTCACACACGCCTATTTCCATGCAAAATGCTGGAAGAGTTTTAGGGAGTAGCAGTGAAACATAGCGCTCTTGTGGGAGTTAGATTGACTCAGCTTCTTTTAAAAAGACTGAAAACTCTGAATCCTAGTCACAGAAATATTTTGAAACTGTAATTTCCTGAAATTAACTGAAAATGAGTGATTTACTAGCTGCTAGGAGAAAGACAAATTATTAGGAGTTGAGAAAATACTTGGAAATAACTTTTTTGGTGATTTACTAATGACAGCCTCTCTACGAAACTCCATCCTGTAGACTTCATGTCAGAGTATTTAAAACCTATACAAGTTGGAAGGGTAAAATTGACAAATATTTAAATACTGGTGAAATTTTCAGTGAATTTTAGTGCTTGTGGAGCAGAAAAAAATGACAGCCCGACAAAACAAAACAGTCCAAGCTAGCATAATATGAATATTGAGATGATTTCAGGTACCGCCCAAGAAGGCACCCTTATTCTAAAGGGTTACCATCTACACGTGGAATCCCACAGTGCTTGTGCTCAGCTATATAAGAAAACTGATTTGGAAAGTACGTCATTCTTGCAGAAGTTTTTTTCCCCCATAAACTAGTATTTTTGGTGTGTTCTGAACAAGGACCATTAAATAGGTAGCGACATAAGACACTAATTCTCTATCACTCTCAACCTATATCTTAGCTAGAAATCACTGTCTGTCTGTCGGTGAACTGTTTATGTTTTTCACAGATCAAGTGATAAAAATGCAGAAAAAACACAATAAAAGCCTGCAAGGAACAGTCTTCATAATAATGTGATTCCTTCTTAAAAGTATTTTATGAAAGAAAAACAGGTGTAGGTATGTATTAGGTTGATTAAAGTATTAGAAAGAAAGGAACTGAATTTGGTGGAGATATTATAGATTTACATTGTTAAAAATACATGAAGCCAGCTAGGCATTTATAACACCAACTGCAATGTGAGCAAATTGAACATTGCATTTTGTTTTCAGATACCCTGATACATATCTACATCCGCTTTACTAAAACCAGGAGCACTGGTGCGAATTTTCTTCAGGGCAGCTGAGAGCAGAAGCTTAGCAAGTGACTGACTGCTGAAGAATGTGTTCACCAAGCTCAAGTTTAATTAGATCGGGGATTAAATAGCCCAGTACTGGTACCAGTAAATAACCGGAAATATCACAAACTGGGCAGCAGTAACTTCCAAAACCTGTCATTCCTTTTCTGTGTTGCTGTATCTGTATGAATACGTAGCCATACTTCTGTATTTTATATAATGTAAATATCTGATAAGAATCAGAGGATTCTCATCTGTAGGTGCTGGCTTGTTGCCTGCAAGACCTTGGGATGTTGCTCAAGGTCCTGTACTTGCTTGTCACAGATCAGGTTTACCAACCTGTCGGAACAAGGTGCCTGCAGCACCCCGGTTGCTTGGTATTGTTGCCCTTGGGCCAGTGAAGGTCAGGAACCATTGCATAAGATCAAGAAAGGTTCATTTTTCTTGTAATAATAACCAATTTTCAGTTTGCTTGAATGTCAGTATGAAATAGATTTCTTTTATTATTCAAGCTTTGCAACAATCAAGTTCTTGTCAATAAATAAGGTTAAAGTATTGACCATTATTGCTAGAATCAGCAAAAGGCTCTTCTGGCATATGATATCTTAAAAAGCTGTGTCTAATTTCATGCAGTTATTGTCAGTCCTCAAGATGGTGACAGAAAGAACAGAAATTAGATACGTTTGCAATGGTAGAACTACTTTGTACCATTCTCGGTGCAGCTACCTCTCCTGTTTCACTGGCTGCCTCACAGAAATAGCTGCTCACACTGATACTGCTGGCAGGATCTGTATAATTGAGAGCAATTTACAGGCTTCTCAGGTTCTTAAAACCTGTGATTACTTCTACTTTACGCAAAATTTGACCTCTTAGTCTCCATGTAGGCAGGGTGTACTATGTATGCTTTGAGCTTGCTTTCATTTTTCAAGTGGTGCAAACAACAACATCTCCATGCAAAGTAAGGGAACAATACTACAACTCTTTTTAAAATTGACGGCAGAGATGTTTCCAAGGAACGGATGCTGAAGAAAGTTACAATGGATATTACAAATAAATCAGTGAATAAACTGTGAATTAAAGGAAGTATTTGTGAGAAAATGAAAGTGTGTAAGATGGAAATAGGACGCATGGGGGAAGCACAGAAAAGTGACATTAGTAGCCGACATGGAATAAGAAGTGCACCTAACCAGGCTTCCCTCTTCTTGTTGGCTGCAAGGAAGGTGACAGGACATGGTATTCCATCCTGTGCCGTGCTCTCCATGTGTCCTGTGAATCACCTCTTATACATGCCTACTGCCTGCCGTTAATGAGAGACTGAACTTTAGCTGGTGCCTACAGTTGGGTGACACAAAAACTCCTTAATGCTTTCATATGCTTCTCCTTAGCAGGAAGGTTTCATTGAGATCTCCCTTTGGTTTCAATCTGCTCACAAGGGACCTAACCATCGTTATTTGCTCTTTCATTAAGACTGTGTAACTGTGTATTGCACAAAGGTTCATGAGACAGGTTCACATCCACAGAGATTTGTTAGCAGGGTCTGTAGTTGATGGCATATAGTTACTGTAAGGGAAAAAGCAAAATGATAAGAGAGACAGTGGAAGAGAAGCAATTGAAGGGGCTCCAGGCAAGAATCCTTCTCTGGGTCTCTTCTGCAGTGCCATATGTGGTTCCTCCTGTATTGCTTTTCCCACAGTATCAACACAATTTTCGTCAGGACTCACTTCTTACCCGTTGCTCCTGCCTGTGAGGCTGTTGGTGTTGCTGAGAGCACGCTTTGCTGAGATCGTATGCTGGCTTGCTGTTAAGTTTGGGGCACGCATGGTTGTGGGTCTACTAATGTCAACCAGAAGCTTTGACCACAGGGTAGAAAAAGGGAGGGGAAGAAGGGGTGATTCTCACGCTGGTGGCACTCACTTCCCATGAGAACCCACTGTTACAACGCCGTTGGGTTTGCAGGTGCAGGGCCGGGAGGATAAGAGCGCAGGATCCACAGCGTGGGAACAAGGGGAAAGTGCTGCCCCGGAGGCTCTGGGAAAGGCGGCTTGGGTGACCGGACACAGAGCTGCCAGCAGAAAGCCAGCCACAGAGCTTCAGAGAGAGGGCTGTGAGCAATGCAAAAGGCTGAGGCTCTTAAGGCACCATGTGATGTGTGGCTTAACGGATGATATTGCCTTTGCTCAAAGGACCGGAGCCCGGCGCAACTGAAAACTTATCAACAGGGAGTGTAACTCATTTTGATAACAGCTGCAGTCTAGCGGTTATCAGACTAACGTAGTTTGTAATAAAACTGTGTTAATGGGCATTGAAGATTAAGGGAAGGAATGGCATGTGCTGAGGAACCCTTTA